CCGGCCGAGCTGCGTGGGGCTGCCCCCGCGTGATGCCGGAGTAACCCCCGGTGTACCACCCCCACCCCCGGCCCTCCTTTTTCCCTCCGAGACGCTCGGTCCCCGTGGAAGAGGATGGGAGCAGCTGCACAAGGGTGGTCCCTGCACAGCATCCACGTGGTGAACATCTTCCTGGAAATAATTGGGGTGCTGTTGTTGCCATCCCCGGAATTCCCCAGTGGTTCAGCCCTCGGTCTTTCTTTCGAAGACTTAGTCTGTTCACTTAAATATTTTAAGCTTCCAGTCTATTACTTACGAAATTGAATGTATTGTAATTGGAGAAAAATACTGACTCCTTTTTTTGACTTGTCTGCTTTCTTTAGGGTATGCATTTTTATGGCATGCTGGATGGAAGTGGGCTTTTCACTTGGGAAATGAAAGGAGCCGTGTACATTCCCCTGTTGTTAATTGTAAAATGTCTTTCCACGCACTCTTTGTTTTGTGGACAGCCTTGTCCCCGTGCTTAGACAAAGGCAGTGTTCTTAACGCACATGTGTTGATGTTTCATTTAAAGAAAAAACACAACCTTTTTTTGTATTTGATACTTAAATGTAATGATCGGGTCTGAATGCCTTGAGCGATTAAGTAAGAGAAATGCACTAGCACTGATAACTGCACAGGGGCAAACAGAGCTGCTGGAGTACATCCCAAAGTAACTTCCAGACAGTTTTGTTTAATTTGTTAATTATTAATGTTGAAAACTCTTATAAGATGGTCGTGACTGCACTCAACCATAAGCGAGCCCTTTCACAGCTAGAATAGCTTAATATTTGAAAGCGTCTGGTAGTACTTGCCTGACGTTACAGCTGGAAGCAGGCCACTTCTGCAAGATACTGGTACTTGACAATTCACTCGGTGACCATTTACGTAAGTTGGTGCATCTTCCGTGTCCCTTTCTCTAACAAAAAAATGGGGCAGAGCAGGGCACGTACCCAAACGTAGGGTAAGGCCGGATGCTCTGAGAGCTACAGCAGTTCCCCTCTCTGTGTCCACGAGCCCTTCTGCAGGGTATTGCAGGAGGAGACTCAGAAATATTCCCTGGTTCTAGCTGCTGTCTTCCTTCCCTCAAGAGAGGTGAAAAAGCGGCATCAGATCATCTCGGATGTTACTGCTGTCAAACTGGTTGTAACTCCTCACTAAGGACGGAGCTCCCTGCAGGTTACCACTGCTGCTCTCTTGGTGACCAGCGTGTTGGTGTGGTTTCAGGGGGTGGTGTGGGCTGAAGAACTGCTTTCCAGTGTTGCCTAAACACATTTTAAAATGACGTTGGTAAAGGTACCCCTTGGGTGGCCACAGGCACACTTGGCAGAGAAACTCTCTTCCTGCTCTGCTCAGGCACAGGTAGTGATCGTGGCCCTTTCTGACAAGTTGGGGCATAATGTTAGGATAGCAAAGCAGAAATTTTAAATAGGCCATGAGGAAGAAAGAGAAAATCCTTCCTGTTTACTGGAAATGTTTCACTGTCATAGCATGGAGTATTTTTTCTGCATACTGAGGTGCCAGCAGCTGGACAAATAATAAACTAGATTTGGAAATAAGGAATATCAGTTGCCTTTATTTAATATACAATATTCACATTTAATATGTATATAATAGTAAAAATAATCATACTTTGATGAATAGGAGTATTTTATTTTTATTATGTGTAGGGAAGACTAAAGCTAGGTGAGGATTTAGCGGTACCTACCCTTGCTGCAAACTTTGACAGAAGGTCCCAGATTCTCTTGCTCAAGAGAAGCACAGACATGTAGCTTGATTTGGAGGGGCTCCTGGGTCATCAAGCCTAGTGACGTGCTGTCGTTTTTTCTGCTTTCATGCATGTGTCCAGCTTTCTCTCAAAACGATTGGTTCCCCCTGCCCTTTCTGCTCTCATGGAGGGGCTCTTGCTGAACCCTGCTGTTCCAGCAGGCAGGAATCCTGTTTCCAGGCTGGGTCCTTACCTGGGGTCCCTTGTGGAGGCCTAGCGTTGTTGCTGTTTGCTGAGGGTGTGTGCCACTGTTAAGGTAACTGCTGGTCTTCAGCCTGTGTCTTCCTGTTTCGTGTTCTCTTCTGAAGTATAAATATGCACACCACCTTAGTGTTATGTGCGATGTGAAAGAAACGAGTCAAAACCTGCTTTGATGATGGTGTAAATTCTTACTTCTCTCAGCTGGTATAAAGTAAAGCCTGCATGAGAGCAAATCCTTTGGCCTTTTTTGAGAGCTTTTTTTAGGTGAGAATCTGGGGCTGGTAACCTGGGTGTGATTTGCTTTTTCCCATTTCCTCCAAAATAAACTCAGTGTGTGTAAGATCATATCTAGTAACATAATGCTAAAAGAATACCTTCCTGACAAGCAGGACTTAAATAATAATGTATGCACCCTTTAATGTTTTTTTTAAATGAGAGTACTCTGTAGGAAATACATCTATTTGTTTAATGCCAAACCCTCTGGCTTTAATTTTCTATTGAAGCTTATTATTATGTCAGCAAGGACATGCTTAATGAATGTCCTGACAGGTACATTTTTAAAAGAATAGAAAGATATGTTACTAAATGTTATACCTAGCCTTTGGAATTCATTATTGCAATAGACTGTAGAATTACCTACTTCAGTGATTAGATTTAAAAGCTGAACTGGATGATAATGTGATTAATATCCTTTGTAGGTTTGCATGCAAAGATGAGAATAATTACCCTTACTTTAGTCTTCGAAGCGCTGCAGAACCTGGGTAGTTTGTTCTACCTCTGCTGTATTGCATTGCTGGTGTTCACAAGCGGTATGTGAAGGCACCGAAAGATTCAGCGGCTCCTGAAGCCATGGGAGTAGGTTGTTGCGTCACCCTGCGCGTTCACAGTTTTTTCCTAACTGTTGATAGTTAGTCAGGCGCACAAGTTGTCCTTGTGTTTTCAATATCGCTAGAGTTAAAGACCTCAAATCTCCTTCCCTAACCCACTTTCTAAAATAGGTTAGCCTTTGTCATATTACTACAGTCTAAATCTCATCAACGCCTATAAATTAAACCATGAAATAAGAATAGAAAGGTGGAATGCATGCGAGCGTGCAATAATAAAAGGTGAGGCAAAAGTCCTGCATTGCAGTAGGGCATGAGGTGGTGTTAGCAGGAGACACAACACCTGGTCCATCCATAGGGACCTTGAAGCCAAGCTGTGTTACAGCAGACAGAGTTCCTGAGCGCTGTGGCACTGTGGCTCTCTTCTGTACGGAAAATTGTCTGTCTGGTCTGTAATGGGGTTTAGTCTCTTGTAATCTAAGTTGAAGGCAATGGCAAAATTCCCAGTTGCTTCAGTGAGGCCAGGATCTCCACCCAGTGCTGGTTTAGGATACACAGAATCCAAAGTGCTGTCCGACAGCTAGGCTAAAACCAACGCTTCTCCTAGAAAATGTCTAAATGCAGAGTTAATATGTGATATGTGTATTTGCAAGTAGATAGATTAGCTTAGACAATCACCTTTTCATCAACCTGAGTTTGTAACCCTTTGGGGTGTTATATTATTATTTTGAACGGTGTTCTATCTCTATAAGTGGAGTATTTTATCTTCTAATAGATGGGTTCAGATTTAGAGAAGCTACTACAAAAGGTTTTTGGTGTTTCCCACTGAGAGTTATGTTGAAGAGGTATGGGTGTCTTAGCCAAGTTCAAGTCCTGAACTTTTTGAGTAAGTTTCCGATATCACTAGTATTTCTCCAGCATGGAAAGAATTAGGAGAAACAAAGCTAGAGGATAATACCGACAGACTTGTGGTATCCCTCATGTAAATGTTTCACTATTCATTGGACTGTAGGATGGATGTGGCCGTGTTGCCTGGAACGGTGTCATTTCAGTCACAAGTCAGTAGAGGCCAAGAATGTTTTGAAGTAACCTTCTATGTGTGGAAACTGTGGTGCCTAAGGCTGGAAACCTAGTTCTAATTTATTCCACACTGAGATAATCTGAAAATTGGAGGGTTCTCCTGCTTGCAGTTGTTGCGATTTGTTTCCGAACTGAAAATAGTAATACCTGACAGGGAGGGCTTAATCCCAAATTTGCTCTGGCTCTACAAGTGATTTAACTCTGCTGCAGAGGTTCATAGCTGCGTAATAATACGTGGTAATAACTTTATAAAAAGCATTAGTGGGTTTTCTGAGGCTTGACAGCATTTGAAGAAAAACACAAAAAAAAGCCCCTTCAGACATACCTGTAGCACCTACAATAGATAGGATAGCGTGCTCTGCTTGAATAATGTGAAGATCCCATTTTCTTAAAAAAGTATTCTGGAGATAGAAGCGAATAGAAATTTCTTCTCCTTAAAAGGCAAAATTAACAGCTGTTGCTTTTCAGCAAGCCAATGCATTGATACCATGCTGAACATATGGTGGATTGCAAGCCTTTTGCTGGGTCAAGCTGACCAGTTTTAGTGGGGGAACCTTGATAAACAAAATCCTATGGAAATTAAGTGTTGCAGGTGTAAGGAAAAGATGGATTAGAAATTGCTTTGATCTAGTTTCTATGTAAAATTGCAGCATGGGTGGGACAGTAGTAGGAGTGTAAGGAAGAATGCAGACAGCAGCCTAAAATGGGTGAGAGAGGCAGCAGATCTTAACATGGGGGCGGGCAGGCTTCCTCTCCCTCGGACCCTCCCGTGCTGGGTTCTTGTCTGTGACACTTTCTCATCTGGTGCCATAGTAGTGGGGAAATTTACTCCTGAAATTATGGGACTCAAACACAGCTTATCGAGGGAAGCCTCTGTTGCTCTTGAAGCCTTCTCTGCTCTGCACGCGCACAAGTTCAGTATCTGGAAAAGCCTTTTCATCTCCTTAACACAAAACTGCTCCTCGTATTTCAAAGTTTGTTCCAGCAACTGTTGATACTAAACTTGAGTTGCTGTAAAAGCTGAGTAAAGGGAATACAGTGCAGTTGCTTTTTTTTATGTTGTTGCTTGTTTCTATAGAAACATCTTGTTTCTATTTTATAAATGGTGTCTAGATTCTTGCTATGAAATGAACGTTAACCCAATCTTTGTTTTGCAATTTTTTATTTAAACTCCCTCTAAGTATGTCACTTTTATTGGTAGCTGTTGTAAAGTATTTTGGTATTAAGAATTTTTCTAATTTTCTTGCATTTGCATTTTTTTTCCCAGAGGAACAAGTTGAACTTAGTTTTTCTCTGTCTTGTTTTTCATCTGGAAGTGAGGTATGATTTTTTTCTCATTTCCTAATCTATTAATCTTTTCATATTTAAATATCAGATTAAAATTAGCCTAGAGAAATGAACCTGGGTTGTTTTTTTTTTCTTCACAAGATAGTTGAAATTAATTTTGTTGTCTTAATAGTCTGTTGGCTGAGTATCAAGATCTTTTTTCTGCTTACATTTGCAAGGTCAAATACTAATCATTAGTTTCATGCTAGCAAAGGATGCAAAGGGATACCGTTCTCTTCCTGCTATAGTAGGAGAGGAAGAAAATCAGAAACATCTCCAATAAAACTATTTGCCCTTCTTGGGCAAATTTCACTTTCTCTTAATTAAATGTAAGAGACCTTTTTAAGGATGAGAAAGCAGAGTGAAATCCTGGTCATGTGCCAGGTGTTACTAGTAACGAAACTGTCCAGTTTGCATATGTGGAGGAGCAGGAGGCAGAAAGCCTGCACCCGGCCGAACCATGCATCACAGGGTTTCGTGCTGGTGCCCTGCGATGGGGTGAGGCTGTGGTTCGGAGGAAGAGGAGGCCACGACCTGGGAACTTGCCGTTCGCTGCAGATCTCCAAAGCCTGTCCATGGCAATACACTGGGCGGTCAGATGGCTGAGTACCGGCAAGGTGGGGTAATTTATTCCTCCGGGACTTACATTGCTGGCTACCTAACTGTCAAATATCTGTATCTGTGTGCTGGCTGGTATGTGTTCCCGTCTGCACCCAACAGAAGTTGGTCTCTTATTTTGGAGGGGAGGGAACTGGTGGCTTCTTCCATCGTGGTCTCTGTCATCTGCTCGCTTTCTTCTCATATTTTTTCTGTAAGATTGAGCTTGAAGTATTTTCAGTTTTAGTTTGCATCCTCTAAAAAGAGATGACGTCATGAGGCTCTCTTCTGAACGTTAATGTTCCAGCTTTCAAAAATACAGGAATATTTTTCAGTAAGTAAGCATGTTCCTAAAGTCACATCTCGGTGGCTTTTTTGACATTTAAGTGTCTATGGGCTTCAGCTATCAGACACACCACCTGTTCCCTGGAGTAAAAATAACCATGACTGGAGTAAAATAGATAGTGAGCAGTTAAATACTGAAGAGGAAACTTTTTACTTGAAAAAAGGAAAACGTGCAGGTGGGTATGTAAATGTGATATCCCTGCATTTCTTTATTACACTTTTTTTAATGTATCATTTAGATGTTGTTAAACATGTGTTTGTTACTAAACTTAAAATGGTTTTCTTTTCTATCTAATGTGGAAATAATTCTCTTAAATATGCCATCTCTTTTTCTTTCTTTTATAACTGTGAATGTGACCAGTTGTGATCTGAGGCATGTTACAAACAATTTGGAGACACTGCTGCTTTTCTGTGTTGGAGACAAACCTAGGGGATACCTGTTTCCTACTCACCTCTCTTTGCCCAGCAGTGTTTTTTTGACTGTAAAATCACAAACTTTTACATGGAGAGCAGTTTTTTTCCCAATCCATTGGACTTTTCTCCTCCGTTGCCGGAGTTCATGTTTGTGTAATGTCCTTTTGGGCAGTTGATGCAAGAAAAGAGAAACTGATAGACTTGTACTCGGCCCGGTGCTGTTGTCAAGTTGAGTGCGGGGTGGGAATTTTTCAAGCTGTCTGAGCAACAGAAGACTGTTGGGGTTTCTTCAATTCATTAATAATGAAAAATAAGAAGAGGGATGTTATTTGGTTTGTTTTGAAGAATCTTGTACCTTCAGAGTAGTTGAATGGAATTTTTTTTAGTTTTTTTTTATCCTGAATCGTGAAGTGGAGCAGGTTCCTTATGTTCATCCACTCCCTCCTCCCACAGAACGAAGGCTGTTGAACTTCATCCAATTATTTCACTCAAGTCAGTTACTTAGAATTTTTTTTCCACACATGCAAAAAAATCCCAAACCAAACAAACCATCTCGAGATCCGTAGGCTAAGTGTGGAAAACTCTGGACCAAGCTGCTGCGTCAGCAGATGAAACGCCTGGAAGGCAAGACCATAACTACGCCTGTTCTCCTCACAGCTAGTGCAGTGGTGAGGCTACAGGACTGAGAAATGTTGCAGTCACTTTAGAGCCATTCAGTTTGTGGTCCTCCCAGGCAATTCATCCAGCCCACTGCTGCCTTTCTGGTGGCCCCGTAGCGCCTCACCCATCGCGCCAGCCTTGAGGCAGGTGGGTATGTGATGAGGCAGGGCTGTCCTTCTTCCAGGAGGCTGGCAGGAGGCACTGGCTCCAGCTGCTGGAGCAGCTTGGGTCACTCCTTTCAGACCACTTTCTTCTTTCCAGGGATGAGCCCCAGGAGGCCCAAGTTGTTCTGGCAGGGGCGGCAACCCTGAGCACACCTGCATGCAGATGTTGCAGTAGTTTGTCGCGTGTGATCTGCGCATGGCCAGCAAATCTGCCACGTCCAGCAAGTGTGGGGTGTCCTGAGCGTGGGCACCGGGCTCCATCGCTTGCCGAGGAAAGTGCTGCACCAGCAGCCATGCCATGCCCCTGCAGGGACTTCCAGGCAGAGCTTGTTGGTGATGCTGTGTAAGGACATCTAATCTTTGTGTAAGGACATCATTGATACTGTCCTTCAGTGAGCTAGTGTTGCTGATAGCAGAAAAAAGAAATGCTAAAGCTGTGCTTCCATGCTCTCTTTGATTAGCCACAAGAAAGTAACTTCCCAAGCGTGTTGGGTAGGTTTGTGTCCCCTTCGGATCCATTTGTGTTCTACATCCTCTGAGGGCTTGGCAAAGTTACTTGGTATGATCTGTAAATGGTCAGGGGCAGGGACTGTGTGCTCCCAGCAATTTGTGGGGAAAAGACCTTGAACTGGCTACATTATATGTAGGAGGTGCAGACAGGGATCAGCCTTAAGCGATTGTGAGAAGTTCAGTGCTAACTTTATCCTTCTCTCCTAGAAAGTAGCATGTGAATCATTGCAAAGATGGTTTCTTTGGGGTGGTGGGTGTTCTGATGGGATCTCATGTTTCTCTGCATGGTCAAAACACCCTTGATGGGAAGGGGGTAAGCAAGAAAAAGTTCCTGCTGTCAGACTGGTGTGGAGTGGCCTCCAATCGTGACTTACCGTGTGCTTTCCTGAATTTAGGCAGCAGTGAGTTTCAGTGAATGTGGTGGAATTTTGCCATAAGCAAGGGTAGTTAGTGGTCAGAACACACGTAACTTTGTGTGTTATGTTGATGAAGAACATAACTGGTAAAGCCACAGCCAGATGTTCGCTGGGTTCAGTAGGCTGAGTTGACTTTACCTTCTCTGTTGTTTTAAAGCTAGTCCAGGAAAACATTCAATTACATGGGATATTTTTTTTCAGAAGCACTTCAAGGATGTAGGAGCACCAGCTGTGCTGGAAGTGGACAGAACTTGTGCTTAGTATCTCCTCTGCGACCTCCTTGGAGGCCTTCATTCTGAAAAAAGGTCCTTTTATGGCATCCTGCACCTGAGAAGGCACGTCATGGTTCTCCTTAAAGTGTGCAAGCCCCTCAGCCATTTGGCCATAACAGCTGGGTAAATTTGGTTATAAAGTTTCTGTAGTAAAGTTCTTCAGAGTTTGGATCTTCAAGTGCTGACTTTCTGCCAGTAAACAGTGGGAGACAGCAGGCAACAGCTTTGCTGATGAAAATATGCCGTTTTGAATAGGGAGGGAAATTTTATAGCACCAAATATCTGAAAAGACAAGAGAAAACTGGGTGCTTGTAGGAACCTTCGGGTACTGCAATAGGCTTGTGAAGAACATTGTGCATACATGCTGAGCAATAGGACAGATCAGGCGCTTCCCCTTGTGTTCCATGTGATAACTCTATTTTTAATTTTAAATAATTTAAAGTCAAAAATAGAAACTAAATATGAAATGGAGTATGGAGTACTATGTCCAGCTCTGGAGTCCCCAGCACAGGAAAGACACAGACCTGTTGGAGCGGGTCCACAGGAGGGACACAACAATGATCAGGGGGATGGAACACCTCTCCTATGAAGAAAGGCTGAGAGAGTTGGGGTTGTTCAGCCTAGAGAAGAGAAGGCTCTGGGGAGACCTTATTGCAGCCTATCAGTACTTAAAGGGGGCTTATAAGAAAGATGGGGACAGAGTTTTTAGCAGGGCCTGTTGTGACAGGACAAGGGGTAATGGTTTTAAACTAAAAGAGGGTAGATTCAGACCAGATAAAAGGAAGAAATCTTTTACGATGAGGGTGGTGAAACACTGGAGCAGAAAGGCTGGAGAGTTGGGGTTGTTCAGCCTAGAGAAGAGAAGGCTCCGGGGAGACCTTTTTGCAGCCTATCAGTACTTAAAGGGGGCTTATAAGAAAGATGGGGACAGAGTTTTTAGCAGTGCCTGTTGTGACAGGAAAAGGGGGAATGG